AGAAAAAAATCCTCACCACTGGACCAATAAACAGCATTCTTATCAATGGAGAAAAGATTGAAGTTGTCAAAACCAAACATAGGCAGTCCTATAAAGTGAACATAAGCTCAGTGAGAAACATTGTCTGGGGTCTTTTGTGCATCCAGAGACTAGAAAAGGGCCAGAAACATTTAAATTTAGTAAATTTTACTGGTGTGGTGCTGTAGGATAAGCACTGGACTGCTAACCTCAAGGTTGGCAGTTCAAACCCACCAGCTGCCCTTTGGGAACCTATACAGGGTCGCTATCAGTCAGGATCGACTCGATGGCACTTATCAACAATTATATGATGAAATGATGGATCAGGTGGGGAACTACGTAGTTTTTGGTTTACCACCCCAAAGGTATTAAGGGTCCGCAAGAGGTTAGATGGGTAGGTGCCATTGAGGGAGGGAAGGATGGGGAAAGAGTTTTGTGGGGAGGGAGGGAGCTGGATTGACTCCTCCTGCAACACGGCGGAACCCGAGGTGCGCGGGTCAGCGCCGCCCGGACGATTGAGGGTGGGGCGCTGGGCGCCGCCGGAAGGAGGCTCGCGGTTCCCGCAAAGGTACCGCGACACCGGGACTGTGGCTGGGGGATCAGAAGGCCGGAGAGCTGACATGGAGGGACTTGGGGCGGACGCCGCTGACGACGACGCCATGGACTTGTTCCTGGATAAGTTCCAGAGCCAGCCTTACCGCGGCGCTTTCCGCGAAGACCAGTGGGAGGAGGTGGGCGTCTTGGGTGCCTGCACGTGTGTAGGGTGTCTCAGTATGGCAGGCTCCGGAACGCTGGGACGTATGCTTCACCCCTCTGATCTCTGATCCAACGAGCGGTTGGGTGGTTTTCACTTTGAGTGTTAAATGTTAAAAAATCAGCTTCAAGGTTTTGAGGATCTCCTTTAGCTGCCAGTACATCTAAGAGTTTGGAAGTGAGATAGATTCATGCTCCACCATTCACTGTCTCTGATACCAGGTCGGTGATTTAACTTTTCTCAACCCGTTTCTTCACCCATGAAGTTTCCTTTACGATAGCAGTAATCTCAGTCAGGGTTGTGGTGCAGCTTAAATGAGCTTGCAGGTCAAGTACTTGGTACATAATGAGGACTCAATGAATGGTATTGTAGAATGTGAGAACGGTAAGATTTCAGTCATCACGCTACTGGTCTCATTTTACAGATGGGAAACTGAGGCCTCAATGGGCAGGAAGACAGCAAGTCATGATGAGTAAGATAACGTTGATACAGAATCATGGAATTGGATCAACTCAGTGGAAAATTCTTATTCATATAGTTCATTCTTTTCTTAATCTCCAGGAATTTGAAAAGATCCCTCTGTTTATGAAGGAAGCACCACGGGAAATTGATCCCAAAGAGAATCCTGACTTGGCTTGCCTCCAGTCAATTATTTTTGATGATGAGCGATCTCCAGAAGGTAACTTACATGACTTTGAATATTTATTTTGTATCTGCATTGAATTGATGTAAAGTGCGAGTTAGAAAGGTTTTGATGGGTAACACATACTTGTTGCTGTTGTTAAGTGCTGTTCTGATTTATAGTGGCCCTGTATTGGGTTTCCAAGGAGAGGCTGGTCAGCTTGAACTGCCAACCTTGTGGTTCAAACTGACCTTGTGGTTCAAACTGACCTTGCGATTCAATGCTTTATCCACACCAGCAGTAGTTGTTAGCATGTGAATATTCATTCCACATGCACTACTTTGCATTCCTCCTAAATGCTGTACATTGGGGAGACAAAGGTAATTACAACTTCTTTCTGAAGTCATACTCCAATTGGTAGTCAAATTATCTTAAGGATTTAAAACAAAAGTATGATCAATGTCAGTTACGCACAGTGAAACCTGTGAGAGTCAGAACTCAGTGGGACAGCCTTGTTTTTCCAGGTCTTTCAGATTTGTCATCTTTAATAGCTTACCACTTTTTCTGTTGCTCTTTTTTGTGGAAAACAATCTTGACAGATTTCCACCTTCTGTAGGTTTAGCTTTCACAATGTTTTACTGTGCTAGCTTTGGGAATACTGAAGGTGTTTGAGTGGGCCTACAATGGATTGGCCATTTGAGCTAAGTGATTCCAGAGAGTAAAACAAGTAAAACCAGAAGTGTAATTTCACTCTGTTTCTTCAGCAGTTAGAAGAAGAAGAAAAAAAGTTTTTCCAAGGGTTGGAAGAATTCTACTTTTCTTCTTTCTTTCTTTTTTTTGGGGGGGTGGTGGTGGTGGTAAGCACTTTATAATCTACCTTCTCAGGTGTTTGGAATTGATTGTAGCATTGTGCATGCATAACTTTGTTTTTCCATCTTAATCTTTTGTTTTCTCAGAGCTTTCATTTTGTGTTTGTTTTCTCAGAGCTTTCATTGTGTGTTTTCTTTCCCTATGGGTTTCTTCTATTTGGTTTATTATATATTAGATTATTGTATGATTTATTTTTAATGAACCTCTTAAAATTTAAGGGATAGTGATCGTTTTTCCTCCTCTTTCAGAACAGGCCAAGATCTATAAAGATGAGGGCAATGATTACTTTAAAGAAAAAGACTATAAGAAAGCTGTGATTTCCTACACTGAAGGATTAAAGAAGAAATGTGCAGACCCAGAGTTGAATGTTATCCTTTATACCAACCGAGCAGCAGCACAGTACTACCTGGGTAATTTATTTTATTATTTAATGCTTTTCAAGGAATTAGAAAATGATAAAAAGCATTCCAGCGACTATTAGAAGTTTGAGAAAGACAGAGGAAGAGGGGCACTTGATCTTAGAAAACAAGTCTAAGGATAGTTGTTGTTGTATGCCTTTGAGTCAGTTCCAACTCATAGCAACCTGGATAAGATTTCCAAAGGGAGGTTGATGGATTTGAACCGGCTACCCTGTGATTAGCAGCCCATTGCTTACACTACAGCGCCATACCAGGACTCCAGACTGAGGACTTTGTTGTTGTTGTTAAGTACCGTGGAGTCGAGTGTTATAATTGAACTCTGACCCCTTCCTGGTAAACGGGATGAAAAGGGAAACCAGACGGGCTGCATATTCTTGAATATGTGAACCATATCAGTGGCTTGCTTAGTAGTTGTATTAGTTTCATAGGGCTGTAGGAACAAAGTACCACAAACTGAATGACTTAAAACAGTAGACATTTATTTTCTCATAGTTCTGGAGGTTAGAAGTCTGAAATCAAGATGTTAGCAGGGCCATATTCTCTCCAAAGCTTGCAGGGAAGAATCCTTCCTTTCTTCGTCTAACCTGTGGTGGCTGCCAGCCATCTTTGACATTCCTTGGCTTATAGCTGTATCACTTTAGGCTTTGCCCCTATCTTATCTACGGAGACTGGTTCTGAGTTGGTCTTCTAACATCAAGATCAGCAGGTTGAAACTACCAGCTATTCCACAGGAGAAAGATGAGGCTTTCTGCTCCCATAAAGATTTGCAGCCTCAGAAACCCTGTGCAGGGTCACTATGAATCAGAACCATCTCCATGGCACACTACCATCACAGAGACCCTATTCCAAATGAGGTCACATTCTGAGGTTTCTGTTAGACATCAATTTTTGGGATCCTCTATTCAACTGTATATAGTAACTCTGGTGTGATATTAGAGAGTTATAATCTGAGATTTTTTTAACTTAAACACTTCTCTGGAAAAAAACCCCAAAATTTATGGTGTTTACCTTCTGTGCAGTAATTCTAGAAGGATCAAGGCAATAGAGGCCCTCAGGTAAGAGAAGCTATATTAATCTACTGGAGAATTTCTCAAAGAGTATATATTCTGTGGAACCTTTGCAGTAAAAAAAAAAATAAAAAATTCCATAGACAAGTTTATAAATGCTGTTTCCTTGTTAATGAATCTTTAGGTGAACTACAGTGTGCAAGCCATTTTAGCATGCCTTTCTCAAATTTTGTTTATCAAGCCCCTTCCAAATAACACTTATTAACATGATACAGTACAGAGCTGTCCTGTGGGATATGACTATGGGAAATAAGAATTCTGTGGGTGTTTATTCTAGTTAGTGTACATGGGACGATATCAATACCACCACCTGAATTAGATGTTGTTAGGTCCTGGTGTGATGCTGTGGGTTAATGCGCCAGACTGCAAAGCCGTTGGAACTGCAAGGTCAGTGGTTCAAGCTCACCAGCTTCTCCTTAGAAACCCTATACAGGGTTGCTATGGGCCGGAACCAACTCGACGGCACTTAACAACAACAACAGGTGCCATCAAGCAGTACTGACTCATAGGGACCTTATGCACAACAGAATAAAACGCTGCCTTGTCCTGTGCCAACCTCCCAATTGTTGCTATGCTTGAGCCCTTTGCTGCTGCCACTGTGCCAATCCATCTTGTTGAAGGTCTTCCTCTTTTTTTGCTGATCCTCCACTTTACCAAACCTGATACCCTCCAGGGACTGGTCCCTCCTAATCATATGTCAAAAGTATGAGAAATACACTCATTTCTAATTGAAGAGCCATCGTGACATTCATGGAACATTTTGGCTGTACTTCTTCTAACACAAATTGTTGTGTTCTTTAGGCGATGCATGGTACTTTGACTATTCTCTTCCCAAACCATAACTCAAATGCATCAGTTCTATGGACTTCTTTATTCATTGTCCAACTTTCACATGCTTTTGAGATTATTGAAAATACCATGGTTTGGGTCAAGTGCACCTTAATCCTCCGACTAACATCTTTGCTCTTGAACACTTTAAAGAGGTCTTCTGCAGCAGATTAGTCTAATGGAATACGTCTGTTTCCATGAATGTTGATGGTTAATCTGAGCAAAATGAAGTCTTTTGAGAACTTTAATCTTTTATCCATTTATCTTAATGCTATTTATTGATTCAGCGGTGAGAATTTTTGTTTTCTTTACATTGAGGTGAACGCCATACTGAAGGCTGTGGTCTTTGATGTTCATCAGTATTTTAAGTCATTTTTGCTTTCAGCAAACAAGGTTGTATCATCTGCATATCACAGGTTGTTAATGCGTCTTCCTCCAACCCTGATGCCACGTTTTTCTTCATATAATCCATCTTCTCAAATTATTTGCTCAGCATACTGATTGAATAAGTATGGTGAAAGAATACCAACCTGGCACACACCTTTCCTAATTTTAAACCATTCAGTGTTCCCCTGTTCTGTTTGAAGAACTGCCTCTTGATCTATGTACAGGTTCCTCATGAGCAAAATTAAATATTCTGAAGTACTCATTATCCACAGTGTTGTCCGTAGCTTGTCATGATCCATACAGTTGAAAGCCTTTGCATAGTCAATAAAGCACAGGTAAATATCTTTCTGGTATTCTCTGCTTTTAGCCACAATCTATCTGACATCAATGATATCCGTCATTCCATTATCCTCGTCTGGTTCTGGCTTGAATCTCTGACAGGTCTTGTTCATTGTGCTGCTGCAGTTGTTTTTAAATTGCTCTTAACAAAGTTTTACTTACAGGCTATATCAATGATATTGTCTGACGATTTCTGTAATCCGTTGCATCACCTCTCTTTGGAAAGGGCATAAATATAGATCTCTTCCAATCAGTTGGGCAGGTAGCTGTCTTCTAAATTTCTTGGCATGGATAAGTGAGTGCCTCCAGTGCCTCATCACTTTGTTGAAAGATTCAGTTTGTGTTACATCAATTCCAGAGCCGTGTTCTTTGCCAGTGCCTTCAGTGCACCCTGAATTTCTTCCTTAAATATCATTGGCTCTTGATCATATGCTACCTCTTTTTTTTCCCCCCAAGTTTTTATTGTGAATTACATGATAGTTTACATGGGAGAACATCAGCTTTACACACATCCTATCATATTTCATTCCATTGCAATGATTACAGTCCCCTTGGTGCATCATCATTCAACAGCATTTGCTTCCAATCCCTCTGTTGTATTTTTTATTTTATGTACACTGAAGCACTCAGGAATATGTAGCCAATCAAACAACCAAAGAGTATACCCTGCACGCCATCCCCGGCCACCAACACACGGAGCCCCTCTCCTCCCTTGAGTCTAGAGTCCGCAGCCACTCTCTCTCTCCCCGTCATCTCTCTGCCGCCATCTCTGGCATCACCACTTCTCTGGATAGGGTCCTGCACTCTGCTCTTCTCACTTGATGGTCCCAGGGTCCTCCGCTCCTGGACTGCAAGATCAACCACTCCCTTCCTTTTGTTACGAAACGCCTACCTTTACATTAGCAATATTGACAGTCAGTCCTGATAATAGTTATTCACTATTGTAACAAGAATCTTATCCCCATCTCCTTTCATCAGCCACTTCTAGAGAGGTTGAAAACCACTCAGTGGAGATTCTACCTTCCCCCGCACCCTCTGGAACTAGGCTCCCTCTTGAAAACATGTAAGCCAGTCACTTTGTGCCTTTATAGCCCTCCATTTTAGGTAGCCAGTGTCTAAGTTGCCCATCCCTGTCAACACTGTGTACAGAGGGAGTGGGAATGATCCTTGCCGTGAAGATTTTTTTCCTTCTATTAAGCTACTACAAGGAGCTCTGGTAGCGTAGTGGTTACGAATCGGGCTGCGAACCTTAAGGTCAGCGGTTCGAAACTACCAGCTGCTCCGCGGGAGAAAGATGAGGCTTTCTACTCCCGTAAAGATTTACACCCTCGGAAACCCTGTACAGGGTCGCTATGGGTCGGACCCGACTCGATGGCACTTAACAACAACAACATTAAGCTACTACATCCATAAGTATAGGTCAAGTTCATCAATTGTAGCGGATCACTCTTTTTTTCCTCTTCTTTCTAACTCTAGTCAAGTTTTGTTCATCCAGCCATTGAAGCTAGGTCAAATGGGTACTGTCTGCAGGTATGGTAGTTCTTGTGCATCTTCTCTCACTTCATATCAGCTGGACACTTCACTCTCTGCTCTAGCCCTCTGTGGCTATGTCCCTGTCCATGGACTCAGGAGTCCCCAGGTCTTACCATACTGCTGGCCAGCGAGGTCTCACTCCAGGTTGACAGGAATCTATTAAACGTGGTGGGACTCAACTCACAACTTCATTCATGCTTTTCCCCCACTTCCCTTATCGGTAGACCAACATATAGTAATTCTTGAAATGGTTGGACATCAACCATTTCGTTTTGGTACAGTAACTCTGTGTATTCCTTCCATCTTCTTTTGATGCTTTCTGCATCATTCAGTAATTTGCTTAGTGAATCTTTCAGTAACGAAAGTCGAGACTTGAATTTTTTCTTCAGTTCCCTCAGCTTGAGAAATGCAGAGCATGTTCTTCTCTTTTGGTTTTCGAACTCCAGGTCTGTTTATGTTTCATTATAATATTTGACTTTGTTTTCTTGAGCTACCTTCTGAAATTTTCTATTCAGCTGTTTTAACTCCCCATTTATTCCATTTGCTTTAACATCTCTATGCTGGAGAGCAAGTTTCAGAGTCTCTGCTGACATCCATTTTGGTCTTTTCCTTCCTTCTTGTCTTAATGAATTTTTGCTTTCTTCCTGTATGATGTTCTTGATGTCATCCCACAACTCTTCTGGTATTTGGATTTTAGTGTCTAATGCATCAAACCTGTCCCTCAAATGATCTCTAAATTCTGATGGGATATGTTCAAAGTCATATTTTGGCTCTCATGGACTTGTTTTCATTTTCTTCAGCTTCAGTCTGAACTTGCATATGAGCAATTGATGGTCTGTTCCACAGTCTACCCTGGCCTTGTTTTGGCTGATGATATGGAGCTTTTCTACCATTTCTTTGCACATCTGGTAAGGTCCATGTGTATGAGTCATCTTTTATGTTGTGTAAGAAAGGTATTTGCAATGAAGTCATTTGTCTTGTAAATTCATTCATGTAATATCCAGCATCATTTCCATCACCAAGGCTGTATTTTCCAACGATTGATCATTCCTATTTGTTTCCAACCTTTGCTTTCCAGTCATCAGTAATTACTGATACATCATGATTGTATGTTTGGTCAATTTCAGACTGAAAAACTTGGTAGAATTTTTCAGTTACATCATCACTGGCTTTAGTGGTTGGTGCGTAACTTTGTATAATAGTGGTGTTAACTGGTCTTTCTTGCTGTTGTTGGTGTTATTGTTAAGTACCGTGGAGTCAGTTCCGACTTATAGTGACCCTGCACAGGGATTCCGAGGCTGTAAATCTTTACGGGAGCAGAATGCCTCATCTTTCTCCCGCGGAACCGCTGGTAGTTTTGAACTGCTCACCTTGAGGTTGGCAGCCCCACTCGTAACCACTATGCTACCAGGGTCTTTCTTATAGGTGTGTGAATATTATCCTATCACCTACAGTATTATACTTCCAGCTAGAGCTTGAAATGTTCTTCTTGATTGTGAATGTGACATCATTCCTCTTTAATTTATCATTCCTGGCATAGTAAACCATGTGCTTGTCAGATTCAAAATGGCCAATACCAGTTCATTTCAGTTCACAGATGCCTAGGATATTGATGTTTATATGTTCTATTTCAGTTTGACAACTTCCAGTTTTCCTAGGTTTGGAGAGCAAGTTTCAGTACATTCCATGGTCTGATTTTTAATGGATGTTTACAGCTGTTTCTCTTCATTTTGCGTTGTGCCCCATCAGGAAATGTAGGTCCCGAAAGCTTTACGCCATTTGCATCATCACGGTCAACTCTACTTTGAGGAGGCAGCTCTTCTCCAGTCGTATTTTGAATGCCTTCCAACCTGGTGCTATCTGACAGTGTTCCACTGCTATTTATTAGCCATTCAGTGACTAAATATTCGGAAGTGTTCTGACTCTTCTTCCTAGTCTGTCTCAGTCTGGTAGCTTATCTGAAACCTGTCCACTGTGGGTGACTCTGCTGGTATATAAAACACCTGTGACATGGCTTCCAGAATCACAGCAACACAAAAGCCACCACAGTACAACAAACTGACCAATGAGTGTGGAATAGGCAGTCTACAGAAAAGGGAGCAGATTTTAGGAAGTGAGTTACAGAGAGCAGTAAGAAGTATACTTTGAGGCATGTCAGGTTGAGGGTGGAAAGCTGTTGGACACATTGAAGTGACACTTGGGGAAAAGGCTTGACTCGTGGATTTATACTCACAGATTCATATTCATAGTCATGAACATAAAGGGAGCAGGTGAAAGCTAAGAGTGGGCAGAAATCCCCAAAGGAGTGCACACTGTAAAAGGGAGTAAGTGGCTGAGGAAGAATGTTAGATATCTGAAACAGAACTGGTGAGTGAAGTGGTTCCAACATAGGTTAGGTCAGGGAGAGATGAAGAGAGCTTGGAAAGAGTAATGTCATGAGTGTCTAGGGAATAAATGTAAGAGAAAAATAAGCAGAAAGATGAAGATGAAAATAATTGTTAGCCAGTGATTTCAGCCCACATAAGTCTTCCAGGTATTTCCATAAAGCTGCACAATGTGTCTTGGCTACTCTGGATGGAGTTTTTCCTATTCTTTTCTGTGCATTCAAGTAGACTGATGTCTCCTTATAAACTCCAGGATTACCACCTACTGATTTGGAACTATGGGGAGGAGGGCTTGTAAAAAATTTTTTATTATTATTATAAAAGTAATACATGCTTATTGTAGCAACTTTGAAAAATACAGGCAGAATAAAAAGAAGAAAATTAAAATCATAATTCCACAAGCATATAACGACTGTGAACATTGGTGGTATATCCTTCTAGTCTTACTTATTTAAATTTAGTCTTCGTTTTTATCACTTTTATTTATATATGTAATTGAAATAGTCAGATAGTTGGGTTTGTTTTGAAAAGTATCCGTGTCTTGACTGCCTCCTCTACCGTTTTCTGCTCTACAGAGGCAAGCACTTCCAACTACTTTGCTGTTTCTTTTCATGTGTATCTCCAAATAGCATACTTATGTGGCTGCTTCTGTAAGTTTTCAGTTTTAGGCATTATCTGTGGATTCCTGCTATGGAAGAAGAATATTTTATTCTCTCACCAGGGCTACCACATGTTCACATATATCCTGTCTTCCTTTCTTCGAATGTGATTGTGTTTGTTATTATGTGATATAAACTACATTATTCTGTAACTTGTTATTCACAACCATGTTGACTATTTAATAAAACTGTGGTTCTCCTTCAGTTAATACTGTCCTGATTATTATGTTTACTCTGTACTTACCACTAATTCTTGATTTGTTTTCATGTTTCTAACTCCCCTCCACATCAGAATGGTATCCGTTCTACCTTCTTGGTGAGGTCTCCCTGGGAGTCTCTGACCTTTGTCTGGGCTGTTACTCTTTGTGCCAAGGGCACAGCTGTGATCCTGGGTTCCTTCTTTCCCCATCTCAGGGCATTCAGTTTGCCTCTTTTGTTTGATCCTAGTTTCCTGGATACCACATTTTTTTTTTTTTTTTCTTACTAATTATACTGTTTTGGTGGGACACATTCTTTAGTAGCTCCCTGATGAAGGAGGCATTAGAGGTAAATTTTCTGAAACCTTGTATGTTAGAAAATATCCTCATTTTACTCATACATAACACAATTGGTAATTTGGATAGGTTGGGAATCCTTAAAATTCATAGCATTTCTTCATTTTCTTCTAGCAATAGTATTGCTGTTAAGAAGTCCAAAAGTAGTCTGACTCCTGATCTTTGGAATGGTGTTGTGTTTTCCTTTGGAAGCATCTAGGATTTTCTCTCTATTCCCCTGTGCTCAAATTCCCTAACAGTGTATCTTAGTATGGGTCCCCTGTGTTGTGTATTCAGTGAACTCATTCTGTCTGCAAAGTTGTTTCTAGGGAATTTCCTTCAATTATCTCATACTTGGCTTCTTTCTGTTGGACTCTTTTCTCTTTCTGTAGATTCTTGCTGCTGGTGTTTGAGAACCAAGTAGAGGACTTGGACTAAGGGCTTAATATTGACATTGTACTTTCACAGAATCACAATTATACTTTCACAGAAACCCTCTTTCATTGTTGATGTAGAAAAAACCTCCACTCTGCCACCAACAAGGGGAAGGATAGGTCCTTCCCACAGGAGATGGATAAGGAATATGGACATCTAACTGCTCCTTAAGTAGATTTTCCACTCGCCTTCACCCCTGTTTCCAAGGCCCCTGATGCCATCAGTATCCTGAGTCTTGGAGGAGCTGCAGAATAGCTTGCTGGCTTTTGGCTTTCCTTCTCCCGGCCTAGAATTCCATTTTTTCCCACCTGATAAGTTGGTCAGTCCTTGTCCCTTTGCCTTCCAGATTTCAAATTTCATTCCATATCTGCATTCTTTTGTTCCTTTGTGGGTTTATAGTTTTTGTTTGTTGGTTTATTTTTAATTGAGAATTTGGGGAGGGAGTTGAGTAAAGTACATGTGTGTAATCTGCCACCTTTAACCAGAAGTCCATGGATCTTTTCTGTGCAACCCCTCCCACCACCACCACCACCACCAATAGTTGAGATCATTCTGTTTATGTAGTCTCTTTTTAAATTTCTTATTGTGGATGAGTGAAGGTTTACAGAGCAGATAATCAGTTTTACATTTAAAAAATCATATGCTTTGCTTCTTTACAATAATTTCAATCCCCTTTATGTGCCATCAGTTGACAGTATTTACTTCTACTTCCTTTAACTCTTGCACACCTCCCTGTGTCTCCCGCTACCTTCATCTTTCCTCTGCCAGCCTCCCTCTTGTTGTATATTGCCTGCCCCATTGCCCATTATGTAGTTTTTTTAAATGTATGTACAATTTTTTTTTATTGTAGTACAAATACACACAACAAAACATTCTATGAATTTATGTACAATTCTGTACTCAGGGTTTTTCCCACTTAATTTTATAACAAACAGTGTTATCTACCATTAAAAATTTGCAAATTTCTACTTTAATAGCTACATAAAGTTGCATCATATACTACTGGCTACACGATTTGATTTACTATTCCCCTCTTACTGAGTCTATAGGCTATTTTTAGGTTTTTTAAAAAACTACAAAAATGGAGCTAGTCATAAAGTTTTACTAATAATTCTGACTATTATTTAGGTTAAAACAAGGATCTCTAAATTACCCTGAGAGTACCCTTTTTTCATACCTTCTCCAATGGCTATTATCTGTCTTTAATTTTTACCAATTTTGTGTGTTCTTTTTCATGATCTTAGTGAGGCTGGTGTTTTTTCCTGTGCTTACTAGCCAGGCATGTTGAGTCTGGTTTGTCTGATTATGTAAATAGATTTTAAGTCTCTTGATGAGCACAACTATGTTTTTTTTCTAAAAACAGTTGTCCTGATTCATAGTTCTCCAAGGTTGTACAATATTGTCTTTGCTAGTACACACAAAGTTTTGTAAGCATTCTGATCTCAAAATTTGTTCTCTCTTTTTTTTTATTATTATTAAATGCCATTTTGTTAGGCAATTTTCGTTCTTCTCTCAATGATGTGATGGCTGCCAGAAAGCTCAAACCCTGCCACCTCAAAGCAATAGTAAGAGGTAAGTTCTGTAGAACGTGAGTACAACAGCCATTCTGGAAAGGATGGTACTCACTGCACCAAAAGCTGAGCCATTTTAAGCTTGGATATTAACGTGCTAAGACACTAATTAGGTCACCTTGTTTTTTGCAATCTTGATATTAAGTTCCCGCTTCATATAAATAGCAACAACCATATTTTAAAAGAATTCTCTAAAGACTGGGCTAACCCTTTGTGTTTTAAGAATTATAGAGAAATTGTGAGATTCCTCATTGTAAATTAATAAAGAATAAAATTAATTAAAACAAAGCAGTTCCAAAAGCCACACTCTAATGTTTTTCCAAATTAGCTGATTGAAAGGCGAGATCTTCAAATGCCATGCTAATGTTAATTAAAAGAAAAGTTGTAGGACCTTTGCTGATAATACTGATGCTGAGACGTTCCCAGATTATTTTTCTGTTGTAGTCTGACCTTTCTGTATTATAATAGTGTTTTTATTACTTTTGTACATCACCTTTTCTTTGAGAAGCTCAGAGGTGCTTTGCTGACTTTAATTTATTCATCACACACTAATCTTTGCTACATCCCCATGGACCCGCTTAAAATGCTTTATCAAAGTTACTTCTCTCTACATGCTCATGGTTAGCAGGAGGGAGGTAGATCCACTTCCCTCAGCTGTAGGGAAGAGAAGGTACTGAACAAAGAGGAGCAAGTAACCCAGTGTAGTTGTGTAGAATTGGCCTCAGGCTGGACATCTGTAATCCTCAGATCAGTTGTCACCTTTACCTTATCATGTGACCTTGACAAGACACCCACTGTGAGTATCAGTGTGCCCTTTTCTGGAAAATGGAGTTGGATTTGATGATAGATAACCCCTTCCAGTTCTGATATTTTGAAATTCTGTGTAAAGCCTAAAGAGGCTAACTTGAGAAAACAAATGTGGTTCATTAAAAACTTTTTTTTTTTTTTAATAGAAAAGAGAGGCAGATTGAACTGGTAGCCATGAAGAACAAGATTAGGAGAGACCTGAATGTCTTGATGAATGGCTGAAACAAAGTCTACTTATTTTCCCCCTTTAGAAAAAAAAATTGTCTGAGAAGGGCTTTATTCTTCCTGTTTGTTGATGAGGAACCTGAAACTCAGAGACATTAAGTCCTTTGTCTAAAGCCCAGCTGGTAAAAGACAGACCCAGAATCCAAGCTTAAATCTGTGGGGTTTTAAAGCCTGTGCTGTCTGCTAATAAGCTATAACCTTCCTGACTTTAAGAGTTCTTAAGACCGGACTTATTTTTATATCTAGGATGCAAAAATATATTCTTTGGGATGACAGTACAAGGGTGGGGGACAGGGTCTTGCTCAAGGCTGGCTTCTTTCCATACACACTGTCCATGTATTCTAAGGGCTCTGGATTCTGCAGGTGCCTTATGCCATCTGGAACTGAACAACTTTGCTGAGGCTGTGAGCTGGTGTGATGAGGGACTGCAGATAGATGCCAAAGAGAAGAAGCTTTTGGACACAAGGGCTAAAGCAGACAGGCTCAAGGTTGGTGGCAGAACTAGCAGCCAGTCACATTTGGCTTCTTAGATTGTGGCTCTCAGACCATTGCAAACCACTTAAAAACTCAAAACCAGCCAATAAGACAGTTCCCGGTGCTGTAGGTTAATGCACCAGACTGCAAAGCCATTGGAACAGTAAGGTCGGCTGTTCAGGCTCACCAGATGCTTTTCTGAAACCCTATACAGGGTCGCTATGGGTCGGTACCAACTTGACGGCACTTAACAACAACAACCCCTGAAAAGAAGGAGCTCTGGTAGCAGAGTGGTTTCAAGTTGTGCTACTGATCGCACGAGTTTGAAAATACCAGAAGCTCTGTAGGAGAAAGATGAGGCTTTCTGCTCCCGTGAAGATTTACAGCCTCGGAAACCCTGTACAGGATTGCTGTGAGTCAAAACTGACTCCATGGCACATAACCACCACCCTTGAAGCTCAGAGTCCTGGTGTGGCACTGTAGGATAAGCACTGGACCATAAAGTCGGTGGTTCAAATCCTCTAACTGCTCATAAGAAACTCTATACAGGGTCTCCATGAGTCAGAACTGACTCCATGGCACATAATCACCACCACCACCACCCTTGAAGCTCAGGGTCCTGATGTGGCACTGTAGGATAAACACTACACCTCAGGTCGGCTGTTCAAATTCACTCGCCGTTCATTGGAAACCCTATACAAGGTTGCTGTGAGTCAGAACTGACTCCATGGCACATAACCACCATCACCACCACCCTTGGAACTCAGGGTCCTAGTGTGGCACTGTAGGATAAGCACTAGACCTCAAGATTGGCAGTTCAAACCCACTAGCTACTCCTCTGAAACCCTATACAGGGTCACTATGAGTAGGAGCAGACTTGACGGCACTTAACAACAACAACAACAATTTTATATTATGTGGGTTTTATCTTTTTTGAAAAAAAGGTTAAGTGCTGTCAAATTGGTTCAAACTCACAGTGACCCTGTATAGGGTTTCTTAGAGTGGCTTGTGGATTTGAACCACTGACCTTGTGGTTAACAGTCATGTGCTTATCCTACACAGCCACACGAGGACTCCCCAAAAATATCCATAGAAGATAAAAGCTTGGTAAGTGGGACTGAGTCCAAACTAAGAGTTGGCTTCTCAGAGGACATTGTTAAACAGACAAGCTGTGGAGTGGGAGAAAAGATCTGACAATGGATTAGTATACAGAATAGCTAAAGAAATATATATGCTCAATAAGAAAAGGATATTTTTTTTATAAATGGGCTTGACTTGATGTTGTGGACAAATACTTCGCAAAAGAAAATATAAATGGCCAGTTAGCAAATAAAATATGCTTAACATCATTGTTGTTACTGCTGTCGAGTGGCTTCCGTCTCATATCAACCCTGAATAGGGTTTCTGAGGAGTGGCTGCTGGGTTTGAACCCCAACCTTGTGGTTAGCAGTCAAGTGCTTGTCCTATATCGCCACACCAGGACTCGTTAATGTTGTTAGTCATTAGAGAAAAACAAAACTTCAATAAGGCACCACTTGAATGTCTAAAATTGTAAAAGGACTGACTACTAAATATTGGTAAAGATGTAGAACAACTAGAGCGCTCAGATTTTCCCAGTCAGATATAAATTAGTGCAACTACTTTGAAAATCAGTTTGGCAGGTTTTTATAAATGTAAATATATACACCTGCTCTATGGTGATGGTGTGGCACTGTGGGCTAATGCGTCAGACTGCAAAGTCGTTAGCACTGTGATCGGTGGTTCAAGCACACCAGCTGCTCCTTGGAAACCCTATACAGGGTTGCAATGGGTCGGAATTGACTCAATAGCACTTAACAACAACTCTATGGTCCAGAAAATGTACTCCTAGGTAATCGTGTATGACAAACGAAAGCATGTTTATAAAAAAGACTCATTTAGGAATGTCATAGCCACTTTGTTGATAATAGTGTAGAACCAGAACCAGCCTTTGGGTTCAACAGTAGACCCAACAGTAGAATAGAAGAACAAATTGTGATCTATTCATATTCAGACAGTGGAGCATAGCTTGGCGATGAAAAGTGAGAAACTTAGCACATCAGTGATGGAGGGGAGTTGACTGCAATGGGGCATGACGGATGTTCCTTGTTGACTGGAGTGTTTTGGGTACTCACTCATTGATCTCTACATTAACTTCAGTTTCTACTGCCACAGGCTTTGTACATGTGCTTTGTAAATGCTTATTGAATTAAATCCAACAACTGGTATCCCTTAACACAGGGTCATGGGTTGAAGAAACCAAATCTAATAATTCAGGTGTGGGTTGTGGTAATAGAGGAGACAGATTCCCTAGAACTGATGCATCTGAATTTCATTGTCAGCGAACTAAACAGAGGGATATAAGGAAAGCAAAATTGAAAGAAAAGAAGGAGCAGAATCAGAATGAGACTTTAATCCAGACCATCAAGGTGAGTTTTTGGAGCTTAGTAGGCCTTCTGATCCACCTTTCTTGGATGCTTTACATGGGTGGGTTTGTTCTTTTTCTTTCTGCTTTGGTAAAGCAGTATGATGAAGGAGCTTGGCCTCTGCAATAGAACGCCTGAGTTGGTTCTCCACACTCTCTCTTTGTGCCTGTGTTGGCCTCAGGCAAGCCTTAGAACCCCTTTGAGCCAGTTTCTTATCTGTAAAATGAAGTCGTTGACTCTTAATCAACATGTAATGATGAGTTGCATTGAAATTGATAGTTATCAATCTATCAAAAGGTGATGCAGGCCTGCTTACAAAGGTTATTTATGGGTGATCCAAAAGCCTTAGAATTAAAACTGACACGTACCAGGACTCCAGCTATTATAAACTGACTATGATGTGGTAGACATTGGCTGGGAACCCTGGTGGTACAGGGGTGAAACACCCTATGAGGCAGTTCCACTCTGACCCTGTAGTGTCCTATAGGGTCACCAAGAGTTGGAATTGACTTGATGGCAATTAACACCCAACATATTTTATCTCCACTTCCCTCTCTCCTGAAATTTGAAAGAATGTGGTCTGATCCAGTTCTTGCCTTTTTTACCTTGATACTCAGAAAGTCACCTGTGTGAGCCTTGGCTTCTGGCTTGTCGTCAAAAGGGAAATAAGACTTTCTGTGAGGTTTTGGGTTAGGTTCTTGGTTTCATTCTTCGTGCATTTAAATTTTGTAACCATTTAAGTTACTGACTTTGAGGACCTAATTGCCAAAATGCACTTCTGTAGTCCCTACTCACAACAAGTTCTACATTAACATGTGTAACAGAGAACAGAATGAAATACTCTAGTTTCTCATCATTTGCAGGGAGGAATTTGGTTATTTTCTTAAAAGTAGAATGTTTGAATGCCAGACCTATTTGTATGAATTTTTGGCCCCTCTTGATCCTTCCTTTAACTTAACTCTTCATTTTAAACTTAAGTGTATATAAAGTTACTCTCAATAGTAATATACACAGAGCTATGCAAACTTTGGAGTTCTGGTGGGCTAATGCTCTAGATTGCAAGGTTGACTTGAGCCACAAGGTCTGAGTGTTCGAGCTCACCAGTTGCTCCTCAGAAACCTTATACAGGGTCACTATGAGTTGGAACCGAGTGGACGGCACTTAATAACAACAACATAAACTCTATTTTATTGGTGATTTAAGGCGTAGATTGGTGAACTGTAGCCGCTGGAACACAGCCACACTCACTTATTCTCTATTATGCCTCGCTCTTCTCACTCTGCAGACAGAGCTGAGTGACTGGGACAGAGACTGGTCCCCCAGAACCAAAACCTCCTCATTATGTAACCCTTCAAAGAAAAGTGTGCCAGCTCTGATTTAAGTGATATCTCCGGATTTAAAGAGTATTCTCAAGAATTATTTTGAGGGCATATAATTTTCCCCTCATATAACTTTTCTTTTTTTAGGATCCCCCTATACATGTACACACAAACACACACAAAAGGTGACCCCTACTATTCAGCCCTTTGATTTGGCCTTCATTTCCATGAAAAAAGTCAAGATTAAGTCAATATCCATTATTCTTAGTATTCATGTTCTAGCCAGCCTGAAACATTCACCATTTGTATAAATCAATCCCTTTCTTTCTTATGTTTCTGTGCACCTACTATTCCTAGGTCTGGACTGCCTCTTCTCTCTCCCCTCAACTTTTCTACCTGTCATAGTCTTTGTCCCAGGCCTAGCATTTCCCAGTCACCTCCTGCCCACATCGTTTGCAGTTCCATCTTCCTTACATTATATTGTGATTATTTCTATAGCTGTCTCTCCTCCCGAGTAGACCATGAGACCCTTGAGGGCAGGATACCATGTCTAGCTCATCTCTGGCACAGGGGCCAGCATGGGTAGGAGAGGTGAGTTGGACAAGTGATGCCTACTCTTAGCCGGGCGTCAGGGGTAATGAAGAGAAGCCATCTGTAGGGTTGACCCTCAGGGAGCTTGTGGTGTGCTGTTCCCATTTCAGTGAGACAGGTTTGCATCCTCCTCCACAGCAAGATGTGTGTGTGTGTTTCTTCCATCCAGGCTAGGAACATCAAGTTAGTTTCCGAATCTGCCGATGAAGATGAAGATTCCATCTCTGAAGGGCTAGGTGAGCTTTTCCTGAACGGGCTCCATTCTGAGAACCCCTACGGAGCCAGAGTGAGCCTAGATGAGCAGGGCAGGCTGAGCTGGCCTGTGCTCTTTCTGTACCCGGAGCATGCCCAGTCGGACTTCATCTCTGCCTTTCACGAGGACTCCAGGTACTTACTTAAGATCCCTTTGCTATTGCTGACATGCTCTCTGCTGACTGGGAAGTAGGGACTGGTGGAGTTTGGCTTCAGGAGGGACTCGAATATTTTAGAGCTTTTCATACTCCCTGGTTTGGTGTAACTTCTCTACCCGGTAGCTGATTTTTCCCTTACTAACGAGGTTAGTAATTCAAGTATATACATATTGGGAAAAACAGAATTGGCACATTTAACTTGAGATTTCATAAAGTTAATGCTTAGAAGGTGGCTTAAGTGTAAGTAATGTTGTTTAGCCTGAGTCAATTTAAAGAGCGCTGTTATGTCAGTAGGAAGTGATGCATGTACACATATTTTGGGTGCTACTGTCAAGAATGGATTCAGCCTGCATTGCTTGTTTTATGTATTCCTGATGTATCTTTGAATTGGTGTCCCGGGACTGTGGTATGGGGAAACGGATCATGAGCTAGTAATACCCAGAAGACACATGTTATATCCTTAGGTTTATTGATCATCTAATGGTGATGTTTGGTGAAACGCCCTCTTGGGACTTAGAGCAAAAATACTGCCCTGCTAATTTAGAGGTAAGAGAAGGTTTACTTTTTTCTTTCATAGAATTTTTTTTTTTTTAACACAAATTTGCAGTACAAAGAATTTATCTTTAATCGTGTGAGAATAAGATGCCAACTGATGCCTGATCACCCCCAAATACTTCCGTGTGTATTTCCTAATATTTACAGCTATGCTTCTGTGTGTGCATGTATTTATATACATATACACACACTTGTATCTGGATTCTCACTGATCTCTCGAGTTTTGTAATGCCACAGGCTTTATGTTCTTGTTATCTCCAGTTCTCTGTTTGTAACAGTGGCTTTATTCTTGGTGTGTTTATTCATTGAAATCAGTCCCTCATATTTACTTATTTTCTGCCACCAACACTGCCCCCTCCCCATATGGACCTTTCTCACCTAGTTGGACTGTCAACTCCCCATGGCTGGCTGCTGCCCCTGTGTGGGTCTTACTTGTCCTGCCCACACTCTGACACTGAACTGCTCGGCCATCCTGCATCCATAGCGTCCTCATCCTTGGTGGGTTCCAACTCCCCGCAACACATCCCCCTCTGTGTGGACGCTGGGCAGACTTCTGACAGACCCTCTTACTGCCCAGGCTGGCTGCCTCCCTGTGTGGGTGCTCTCCTCCAATGGCTGGACTCTGACACTCTCATCCTCAGGTAGTGCTGCTATGCAGACGTCCTCCTCACCCCTTCCCCCAGCACACACACATACACACACACACACACACACACACAGTGATTCTAGGACTGATTCTTAGGGAATGAGAGCTCCAAAGGCCTGGGCTTGAGTCCTGGCTGCTCAGTGTACTACTGAGTGACTTTTGCAAGTGATTTCACTTCTCTTAGCTTTGATTTTGTCTTTGGAAAATGGAGCTGGCATTCCTTTTCTTTCAGGGTCATGAGGACCCACAATGGTGTAAAGAAGGAACTCACCTAATTGCAGTTGCCAGCACATCTGGAACGGCTCTGTTCTATACTAGTGTCACGGAGTTGGAATCAGCTCAACAGCCGGAACAACACTGTTTCTGTGTTACTCTTGCAGATTTACTTTGAGGATGAGGAGAAGACCGAACTCTACCGGGTGCCTCCTCAGATCACCCTGCTGCAGATGCTGCAACACCCCAGGTAAGTCACCCATGGGGGGCTGAGTAGAATAGTGGGGTGCTCAGGCATGGTCCAAGGCAGGGAGTACTTAGGCCATCACTGGCTGTCAGCTTAGCCTGCTGATTGCTTTGTGCCCCCTTACTTCTGACCTGGGCACAAAGCTGTGTGAGTCAGTAGCCGAAGCGTTTGGCCCCTTACAGTGGGCCACTGGCCAGACAGGACACAGTGAGTGACTCAGCTTATTGCATTGTATCATGACACCCACAGACTGGGGGCCATGAATGGTTCTGATTTGAACAGGGGGAAACTACTAACTTCTGCACTTAAGAGCAACTGAGCAGGCCCTCTTTGTCTAATGGTCCCTGAGTCCCCGGACATTAAAGGGCACATTAAAAGGAAAGGTCGTTGGCTCTTGATGTCAGATACATAGTCACTTGCTGTGTGACTCTCAGCAAATTCACTGTGTCTCTGAGGCTGTGCCCTTTCCTCCTGAATAAAAATGACTCTTGCCCTTCATTTGTCAGGGATGGGTTTTGAGGGTTTTGAGAGCCAAAGACAATAGGTTTTCAAGTATGCTGATAAAATATAGAGTGGTCCCACTGCAAGATGGCATCTTCGTTACTAGTTGTGGCAGCAAGTTGGATTTGACAGGTTGCCTTTTTTCTGCAACCCTGGGGAGTCCCCAGACTAAGAGAATGCCCTCAGCAGGTAGAGAAGCTGGCTGCTGGATTACTTTTTCCTAAGTTGTGAACAAAGCAAAGCAGAGAAAAGCAGATGCTTGTGCACTTCGGTGGCAGGCAACAGCCTGCTGTCTAAGAAGATTGAGGTGGCAGCGTGTGCTGGGAAGTGAGGTTCCAAAGCTAGTTAGGGCCATGCATGAAGGTCTTGACTGCCCTGCCAAGGGGTGTACAGTGTATCCTGTCTCTGGTGTTTGCTGGCAAGGCCTGAAGTAAGAGAGGGATTGGAAAAGTTTAGGAGGCAGAGTGGGTGGGACTTGGTGCTGCATTGACTGGCTTGGTCGGTAGATATCTAGGTAGTCTCCGTACTTCTGCTTTGCCTAGAGAGTGATCCTCTGTGGGGAAAATTTCCTCTGAACTGATGGCTGACTTCTCCCTTCTCGTTTATAGACACAGTTCTAACTGCAAAGTTTTGAGGTTCACGCTGCCCCATCCCAAAAGATGGGGGGGCAGGGAAAAATCTAAAGCACAAGCAGACTGATCGTGGAGGAAAACCAATTTCATTCTTTTCAGAAAGTAATGTAAATACTGTGGGAAGTGATTGCTTTTAAATGACTAGCGTAACAAGAGGCTACCCTGGTTTCTGGCCACTCCAGATCCTGAACCGTGTGGAGCCGAGACATAGGGCCTCCTGTTAGAACCAGGCCCCCTTAGTAATGCTAACACTCCAGACCAGGGAGGCCCAGGCCCTGCCCACCTCTCAACCTGCTTCACACCCTCTGCTATATGCCCCAGCAGCAATACAGGTGGATTCTGGTTTCCCCTGGCTTTTTCCACCCCCCTACACACACTCCCTCACTCTTAATCACAACCCTTTTTCTAATGAAAGCCAGTCCCAGATCTTCCAGGAAAGCCAATCTTGAAAGCCTTTCCTGATTCCCTGTCCCCACAGAAGGAATCATGCTTCCTTGCTTAACACTGCCCCTTACAAACTGTTGTACAGTTGTGCCCTGCTGTCATTAATTGGTTTCTTATCTCCCTTCCCCCAGGACTGAATTTGGGAGAGTGGACAATGGTTTTTGTGTGTTTTCTTCCTCTCTCTTTTCAGCATAGGAGACCTGGCTTGCCCTAGCACTCACTGGATGTTTGTGGAATGAATGAAAGCATGTTTTGTAGCTTGATTTCAGGTCTAGCAGTAGACTGCATGAGGTGGGAGGACTGGCCTAAAGGTTCTGGTTAGAGGTCATGCTAATTTGCCAGTTTCATCAACAGCAAACCAAATCAGTGTGCTAAACTAGCATTTTAATGTTGATTCAACTTCCAGAGGTTCACCTTGAAGGTTGTTGGGACGGTCTATGGATGATTAAGATTGTAATTCAATTAGCCCCTCTCTTTTGATGTGTTCATTGCAGGTACTTTGTAAAAGCCCTGACACCAGCGGTTTTGGTCTGTGTAGGATCCTCCCCTTTTTGCAAGAATTTTCTCCGGGGGAGAAAGGTGCACCAGGTCAAGTGACCCAAGGCAGTTTGTGGAAACCAGAGCGTGGACCTCCTCCGTCATCCTCCTGTGGCTGGACTCCAGCACAGTGCGTTCAACTCTGAGCTGCTGTTTCTGTCTCTTTTGGGACAGTGCTTCCTACTATCCGGCTAGGGGAATCGCTGCTACTCCCTAAAATGGCAGACTCTATCCAAAATGCAGAGTGCCAGCTGGTCTCCACTCTTCCTTTGCTGATACAGAACCCTGTACCTTACTCCTGCCACCCTTGGACTAACAACAAGCTAGCTGTATCAACCATCAGCCTCCGTCTTAGAAGAGCCCATCAATTGCATGTACCAGAGCAGCTGATCCAAGTGACTAGCTGGCCTGCAGAGACTGGCTCAGGATCCAGTGGCCTGGTTCAGAAACTTTGTGGAGTTCAGAAAGAAGCTACTCCTCAACTTGTACTTATTCACATAAGCAAATTATGCATATAATTTGAAGGCACTGACACTGGGCTAAGAGGCCTCCAGCTATTTTGTGAGCACAGAAGGGGCGGGAGTTGAGTGGCATGTTCCCTTGGGATGAGATGGGACCAGGAAAGCGAGCCAGTTCTTGGTTCTACATTGTAAACATCATACTAGCATAGCTGGTCTCAGCACTCCTCAGCGTACTGCCCGTACTCCTGGTCTTTACAGGATAGAGGTCTGTGACAGGCTTGACCCACGCAGTTCCTCCCCAATTTTCACACTTTACGATTGTGTACCTTTTAAACTGAAAATCGTTGCTGGCTCATTGTTATCAGTTGTATTTTTGTCCGTAGCTCTCTTTGCTCCCTCTCCCTATTGGAGGATTTTGCATGTCTTTGCCTGTAGTCACCTGCCTTCTTGCAGCACCTACACCATCCCTTGGGAATGTTTCTCTGACATTGTGCTTGGCTGTCTGCCTTGATTCTAAGGGGGTGTGAATGAATGTGACTGGTATTATATTCCAACAAACCTGAAAAAGTCACTGCTTGGGGGCTCATTCTCTTTTCCCCCTTTCATGAGAGCATGCATCCCCAACAGGGGCCCATCCTTCAGCCTGGGTCCCAGAATGATAAGACATGTGTTGCAGAACTGAAGCAGTGCCCTGTAGCATTGATGGCAACAGGAATGAGAAATAAATGTGTTGTAATAAACATTGAGATTTGGGGGTGTTTGTTGCTATAGCAAAGCCGAATAATACACCATTAAAGTGAAACCAGCTGCTGTCTTAAGATGGACTCATCTGGGATTTGTGTTGTGTGTTTCACTGTCTTTGAAGGGAAATCTACTGTGGAATACTTACAAAGAGCCATGCAGCTTTCCCTCCAGTTGCAGGAGGTCCCAGCCTATGGCTTGTACAGCCTCCTTCCTAAGCCTGGTCTTAGCCATACTTGAGCCATTCTCTCCCATCCAGGGATTTCACACCTGCCTCCTCTTCTAAGAACTCAGAATGGTGTAGAAGGGACTGTATATGTAGTTAGCACCATCCGTAGCAAACAGTGCTGTGTGTTCCTGTATTGGCCACTTTGGCAACCTCATTTTCATAGGCTCAGTGAAACCCCCACCAGGTTCCAGTTAGCCTTCTTAGGATCTGTGAACTACTATTTATCCAACCTCCTCTAAGACTGTTGAGATGCAGCAGTACATGTACCCAGGATGATGGCTATGTGACCTTCATCCTCAACTGCTAGCCTTGGCATCATCAGCCAGCATTTGCTCTACTTTCTCTTCAGTCTGTGCCCCGCTTCCTTGCAGCTTGGGAAAGGGGCGGAAAGGGACTTTCGGTAGCAGATTGTGGAGCAGGGGTTGAATCCTGGTGGCTGATGACTGGCTGTGACCATGGATAAGGCATCGTCACTCGGGAACCCCTGGACTTCTGCGCAGATATGTATGCAAAGTACCCAACACTGTGCCTGGAACGTGGTGCCTCAGTAGCTCTAAACAAGCTCTATCAGGGCACATTGATACTGGCGGTGGCCCCAAACCAGTGCTTCACTACCAGGGCTGATACTGCCTCCCTGTGGACTTTTCGCAGGGTTTGGAGACATCACAACTCACTGGAGTGCTACTGGCACCTAATGGGTCAGGGATGCACGGTACAGCCGTCGTCCTCCTCCCCACCCCCAACAAAGAATTATGCATTCCAAATGTCAAAAGTGCTGAGACTAAGAAATACAATGAAAGCTTTTATTCAGTGTATCAGGTTTTCAGTTGCATAAATTGAAGCATTTACAACAGGAATCCCTGAGAGCAGATTCCCAGGCCTGAAAGTACAGGACAGGAGCCCATGCCTGTGGCCTGGACATTAGGCCATGTGCCACCAAAGGTCAGAAAAGAAGGGCTTGTAGCACTGCTGAAATGTGTGTGGTCCCTTATTAAAATACTAAGGAGCTCTGGTAACGTAGTGGTTACGAGTCGGGCTGCCAACCTCAAAGTCAGCAGTTCTAAACTACCAGCACTTCTGTGAGAGAAAGATGAGGTTTCTGCTCCCGTAGAGATTTACAGCCTTGGAAACCCTGTACAGGGTCGCTATGAGTCGGAATCAACTCCATGGTACACAACAACATTCAAGTACTACTGGCCACATGGGAAACTGGAGCCTTGACCCAACATCACCAGACATTGCTCCCTGAACTTTGCCATGTTTACTGGTTCTACAGCACTGCCATCCCTCTGCTGATGAGGGAAATGGCCAACAGTTAACGGGCAGTGCTTGCTGAAAGGTCAGAGGAAATGGGCCTAGAGCACCAGTGCTGTGGATGTTGAGGGCCCCTGGTAGAGCTGCAGCCTTTGTGAACTCTGAAGCAGCTGAGAAAGTGGGTGCCAGCCTCACTGGTGTCACATGGGACAGCTGAGCATTAGCTTGTACCCCTGGCTGGGTAACCTTGGGCAAGTCCTATGAACCCTATATTCCTGATATGAGAAGGTTGGAAAACAAATCCCTGGGGCCCTGTGCAGCTCTCACACACCAGGCCTGGGAGGAATGGGGCTTGAGGGCCCCGGCACAGCAGGCTTGTCGGCACTTGGGAGAGTCACGAGGCCCCTCCCCTCGGTAGGAACTAGAGTGAGGCCAGGTAGTACACGCTCAGGCTGTTACAGGCCATGCAACGCACTTTACAGAGGAATGAGAGGCAGTGATAGCGGGTAAGCTGGTGGCAGAGGGCCTGGTAGCGGGGATTGGAGGTCCGAAGGGGGGTGTAGGACTTCCTGAAGAAGAGGCCGATGTCATGGCCCAGGCCATAGCTCTGTTCAACAAGGTGTATGTCAGCCATGATGTCTGATGACGCCTGCCAAACCACTGGGTATTCAACATGGTCATGGTCACACATACAAATAAGATGATCAGCTGTAGCAGAGTGGGAGAGAAAGGGTCAGAACATGGTCCTCCCACCACGCTAGGTAACCCCTTTGGCTGCAGCACTGAGACCTGATTTCAAATCCACATACCCACCCTGTGGTACCTCAGACAAGTTCCTTTAACCTCGCTGAGACTCAAAATCTGCCGCAAAAAGAGGTCAATAAAGGTACCTGCACTCAGTGATAGCTATGCTGCGTCCCTTCCCCGTCAGCTCGGATGTCCCATGTGAAAAGGCTTTGCCACAGCACCAGCCCTGTGGTCTATAGGACACAACCCCAGAGGATGGCTTCCTAGGCCCGATCCTGACACCTAGACACCTAGAACTAGGAAGCCTACCTCCACCCCAAAGGGTGCTGGGAGCACTATAATTCTTGAACTAGATAGAAGTCGCCACCCCACTGAGAAGTGGTTTGGAAATTCACAGTAACGTGAAGTTCAAACCACCAGCAACACCATGGGAAAAAGATGAGGCTTTCTCATCTACCCATAAAGATGTACAGCCTCAGAAACCCTATTGTTAAGTGCCATGGAGTCAGTTCGGACTCATAGCGATCCTGTGTAGGGTTTCTGAGGCTGTAAATTATGGGAGCAGAAAGCCTCACTTTTCCCCCGTGGAGGGGCTGAGTTCAAACCACTGACCTTGTAGTTCATAGTTCTATGAGTCAGAATCAACCTATGGCAGTGGGTTGGGTTGGGTTTTCATTAAGGGAGGGATGGAAAGAAACATTTACTTTTGTCATTCTGTCAAAACCTCTTTGGGCCAGGTCCCACCTGGGCACTGGACCCTGCCTGTGAGGAGCTCCTCAGCCATTGGGAGAGAGACATAGAAAGTAACCAGGATGAAATGATGCAAATGAGGCCCAAGCAGCCTGATTTGCCTGAGCAAAGGTGGGAGTGATTGATCCTGATTGAGAATAGTAGGAGGAATGGATGAAATGCTTCTTAGAGCAGGTAACGCGTGGACTAGGTCTCAGAAGACGAGAGGGAAGAGCATTCCTGGTAGCGGGCTCAGCCTATGCAAAGGTGTGGATGTTTTTCCTGGCCATGCTTGGTAAAGTAGAGGGTCAGTAAAGAGGAATACCCTCAACAAAATGGATTGACACAGTGGCTACAAAAATTGTGAAGATGACACAGTACTTGACATTGTTTCCTTCTGTGGTACACAGGGTCACAATGAGTTGGAGCTGACTTGATGGTACCAAAGAACAGGCCTCCTAAGTGTGGTTCCCTACATCCTTGTCCTTGCTCCACACATCTCCCTCTACTCCACCAGACTGAGCTCCCCAAAAGCCAGGCCACGTTTGATGCCTGTGTGCCCAATGCCACCTTAGACCCAAGCATAAAGGAATGCATGGTGGCGCCCAACTGGCATGCTGGAGGAACAGTGAGCAGTGTGGTAGCCCCGGAGCCAAAGAGAGATGAGAGTGGCAGGTGGTGAATGGCCCTGCACTTTATTCTGTGCATCTTGGGGAGTCCTGGGTGCACTGTGAGCAGATGGTGATATGCCCAGAGGGGTTTTCCTAAATTCTGGCAGCCAGAGTAGGGGCTGGGCTGGAAGGCAAGGGGCCTGCCTACCTGGATGGCCTCCCCTTCGTTAGAAAACTCCCTCAGATGGTACATGGCAAAAAGGATCAGGTTGCAGAAGGCCCAGGCAGAGCCGATGCGGAAGTAGATAGGGAAGAGAGACGGTTCTGGATGAAGCCCAGTGT